ACATCTTGCTGTGCTTCTGGGGAGCTGTTTAAAATGGGGATCCCTAGGGCCCAAACCCCAGAGATGCTGATTCTGTAGGTTGCCTGGGAATGTGCAATTTAATTTAAATAACTAGCCTTGATAATTCGGTGAATGTGGCCTATGATCATACTTTGAGAAAGACTGAGTCGATAGACTGATTTAATTCTTAGAACTGTGGGGAACCTTCGGACACTGACGGCTGAGACTGCCCATCCATGGCGCTTAGTCCAGGAGGGCTGGTTCTGTGCACTTGCTCTCCACAGTAGAGTCAAGTTTCACCACAGGATGACATTCTGTCTGTCTGGGCTCATCATGTGAGACCATAGGGGAAACTGACTCAGCCTGGAAACGTCCAGCCAACAGAGAAAAAAACTGGCCCAGCCCTGAATACTACCACCCCCTGGATCCTGTCCCCTGTAACACAGAGCAGTTGGAGATTTCAAAGAGACTCAGTGCCATGAAATGTGTTGAGAAGGACTGAATAGCAGACCACAGGGAAGAAAGTCAGTATTATACAAAATCCACTTGATTTTACTTAGGGAAGATCACAGATTAAGTGATCCAAACATGGGGCCAGCTCTCCAGCCAGGGTGTGTAAAGTTAGGACTTTTAGCTCAACAGCCACCTATCAGTTGGAATCTTACTTAATTGTATTAATGTCTGTTAATCTTTAAGTGTCACTAACAATTTTGGTGAGGTCTCCTCAGGCTCTCTCATCATAGATGAAGCTCGAGGAACTTAATGTGAAGATTCCTGGGCTTTAAGAAAACTAAATAATGCTCTTTGTTCAAATTTTACTGTTTTCTAACCACTCTTCTAGGCTACTAAGCACAGAAGAAAACTAGAGACATAGAAATGCAATATAGAGATGTGAAGTTTAGCTGTAAATGTATTTGTGCTTGTCTCTGAAAAAGATATATAGTAAATTTTGCTAGTTCTTGAAGGCAAGAACCATATCTGCTCTTGCTTACAGCTGTGTTCCAGTACTCAGTACAGTGCCCGAGAGATAGTATATAGGAAATAAATCTTTGTTAAATGAGCAAGTGCATGACTGATTGAGACTTAGTAATGTTTCTTTTAGAGGAATATATATAATTTCCTATTACTTATTTTTGTGCTACTGGTGAATGATTTTGAAGACAGATATTTTCTCCTCTTGATCACTGTGAAACACCTGATAAAATGTTTTGATTTAGTCTCATACCATCAGGTAAGCACCCAAGTATGGCCATCATTTGAATTGGCAAAGATCTGGAATTGTGCACCTGAGTTGACCTAGAATAAGAGACAGCTTCCAGGGCAGGTGATTGGAATGACTGGGATTTTTCCAGGACAGGTTTGTAGCTAACAGGCAAAATAACAGAGACTCCTCTATTACAGCTCCTCTGGTAAATAACTGTTTGATAACAGACTAGTTCAGGGACTTTTTAGCATAATAGACAGTATTTTGCATTCAATTGTTATCTTTCTATTATCATGTGAGCAAAAGTAAAACATTCTTTACTTTTATTTTAAGAAGTTTAACCTGAAATACCAAAGCATATGTATTTCTCCATATGCATTTTGGTTCTTGTAATTTTCCAGAATAATGTCACTTGACTGTCCAACTTTAAAAGCAAGGCAAGTTCGGGGACTAGCAGGTGAGTGACTTTGCTTATCCAGCTCTGGTCCAGTAATTACTGGATGCTTCAGAAGGAGCTGCTGATCTTCATTCTCGCGGCCCTCCCATTAATTTCTTCCCGGCTAGCTTCAAGTCTTTGTGGGAGGGACCCTCCCTGAGCAAGGCAAAGAGGTTGGAGGGAAACTCTGATTGCCATAAAGCCCACTGTTTCTCAGAGGGTGATCCAGGGACCCCCACCCTCACCCCTGCCAGCCTTGAAGTCTCCAGGAACTTGTTAAATACACTCATTCCTGGACCCCACACTAGACCTACCAAATCAGAGTCTCTGGGGTGGGTTCTTAGGATTTGCATTTTTAGCAATAATTCATTTTTAACAATATCTAATGTGCACTGAAGTTTGAGAATATGTACTTTTCCTGGCAGGTGATTTTATGAAGGGGAGTCACCTGGCAAGAGGTTTTTTTATGCCCTCAACATTGCCTCCTGCCTTTATCCACCTCTTTGGGGTCCCTGCATTTTACTTACCAGCCCTCTCTGACCTTGGGCAGAGCAGGTGCCCTGGCTCTGGGCTCAGGGCACCTGCCAAATATTTTCCACTGTCCCTAAACTTCCTGTTCTTCCCAGAAATGTTGGCACAGGCCAAGGACAGTCGAAGAGTGCTGGACACATGTGGCCAGTTGGGAGAGCTTGGAGACTGACCCCATGGACGGACTGCATCTGCCCTGACTGTGGGAGGACTGGAGCAGGAAGGCCATGAGTCAGAGCTGCCTGTGGACAGAGAGGTTGCTCACCCATGTGGCTGGCCCTGGGGCAGCCTCTGAATTGTCTCCTCCAGCTTCAAGGGCCGGGGCTAGGAAGCTTTGCCTCTCACCGAACACACAAACTTTATGTTCCTGTGGGAGGCTGTCCCATGACCCCATTTTCTGCCTTATGAGAAAGCACTCAGGAATGAAAGAGAGCACAGGACCTCGTGACTGCGATCATCAGTGATGGTCCCCCAGGGCCCCTGCAAAGGCCTTCGTCCCCTCCTATCTCCCTCAGTTCTCTCCCCTCTTCAGATGGTCCACACAAACTACCAAAAAACTGAAGTCAGAACAGTGCTCATTATGTCCAAACAGGTCTACTTCAAATCCTCTAGACAGTGGCCTCGCACCAGGCAGCTGCCTGAAGCCCCTCTACAATTCTGGAGCCTCTTGCATGGTTGAAACCTTGAATTCATCCTTTTTCTTAATTGTTGCTCCTCTGTTACTAGTAATGAATTGCTTGGTGGATGCCAAAGCCTTTACTCTCCAGGGTAAGAAAAAGGGTTTAAAAAATAAGCATCCCAGAAAAAACTTGGAACAACTCAAATCTCAGTGTGTTAAAAAGGCAGCACAAGGGCATGTTTAAAGGCTAGTTTCCAAGACTTAGATCCAGTTCTGATTCAGTAGAAGGAGCCTGGGAATATGGCTTTTAAATAAACAACTCAAGTTATTCAAGTTGTAAATGGCCTGTACTCTGCAGCTCACACCTTGAGACATTTGTTTAAATGTACATCAAGGAGTGAATGCTTCCCTTGGGATGGTTGGAAGTATCGGTGGCTGGGGAGAGACAACTATTCCAAGTGCCTTGGAAAGGGAAAAAGAGTGGATGCAAATACATGACAGACTTTGCACATATTTGACAAGAAGTAAGCCTTGATACCATGAAAAATACACCTAAAGGAAATGAAATCGTGCCATTCTCCTATTCATCTTGCCATCTCTGCTTGCCCCTCACATCTGGGCAGCACTCAGCCTTGGTTAGACTCAGGGATGCCCAGAGGCCCCAGAGGCCTCTCCGTCGCCAGCCCTCCTGGCTTCCTTCTGATGTGTTTTGAATATGGAGGTGATGGGAAGAGGACGAGAATTTTCTCTGAGAGTGGGGCCTGGCTTCTGCTTCCTGTCAGAACGCACTCTCCTCTTTCCAAAGATGCGTCAGGACTAGAGGAACACCACCTTTATTCATCCGAGTAAACCTTAGGTCTTACTCATCAATTCCGAATAGGAAGACCTAGAATGTGGTATTAAATGTCTTCAAGTGAGCAAGGGGCTATGTTACACCTTTGTGCTAGATGGTGTCATTATTAATAGCAAGCACTCATGTAACACTTACCATGTGCCAAAATACTTTGCAAATGTTAACTTGTTTAATCCTCACTACAGGGCTATATGGTATATGAGATTGGTGGTTTTATAGATTACTATGAACTCATTTTGTGGATGAGGGAACTGAGGCATAGAAATATTAAGTAACTCACACAAGGTTATGTAGCTAGTAAGTGGGGGACTAAGGATTCCAACCTGCATTCTCACTCACTATCTGTATCTATATGTCCATATACTACCCATCTAAGAAGGCAAAACCAGGCCGAAGCCAGAAAAACCTCTAGAAGCAAACAAAAATAATACTCTTTAAAAAAAAATCTATTTTCAAGGACATTTCAGAAAGGGAGACTGGAAATAGCAAACTAATTTGAGCATGTACTCAATATAAAGGCAGAATCACTTCATGGTTCCTATATCTATATATTCATTATATATAGTACAGTCCAATAAACTACAATCTATTAAAAACAACCCTGCATGACAACCAATTTTTATTTGGTGCATGCCAACAATTATCTCATTTAATCCTCAGCCTGTTGAAGACTGCCTTAAAAGCTTCTTTGCTGAACATTAACACACCAAAGATAACTGTCTTTCTAACATGATTTCCAACACACTGTGTCCTACAGCCCAGGTAGAAAAATTGCATCTACTTTTGAAGAATAGGAGAGACCACAGACAGACTCACACTGAAGCAGCCTTTTACTGAAAACTCACATTGCTGGTTCCTCCCGGAATCTACTTCTGTTTGGGGGAAAGCATTAACATAGGAGTCCTGAGCCTCAACTGTAGTTCTGGCTCCCCACTAATAAGTTGTATGATGCACAGTAGGCAGTTACCTCTTTGAATCTGTTTCTTAGCTTTCTTATGTATTTTTAAGGTCAAATGAAATTTTTATGAAAGTGGCTAAACTGTGTTACAAAATGTAAGGTAGTATTACAGATGGTTTTAATAAATATGATAATTATTTTATTTATCTAAAGGCCATGTGACTGTCTGCAACTTAATTTGAGGTTGCCTGTCTGCTGTTTCCCCTCCTCTGACCCCCCAGTTAAACTTCTTGTGGGAAGGAACCATGTCTTATTCATTTTTGTCTCTTGAGCCTGTTTCTGATACATAGTAGGTAATCAGTAAATGTTTCCATTCATAATAACAGGAGTTTTCGAAGGAATTTTGAAGGTATCCCATCTAGGTTGAGAGGAACCCATGAAAGAAAAAGTCATTCATAATACCTGCTTCAACCACATGGTCCATGGTTGGAAATCTTTTATACACAGCCGTGCTCACTGAGCGGAAGATGAGCAGAGATGTGAGGTTGACATAGCGCATCAATGTCCTTCTGAGCAGGCGCCCATGCTCGTCCCTCCCGTGGACACTGCTGGAGATGAGGAACATCAGCCTGTCTGGCCAGGGAAGATTCACAAATTGGTTCCACCACCGGTTCACGACCAGAGTAACATAAAACCCTGAAGAATAACAGGAAATTATAAAGCAAGTTCTCGTGGCAAATCATTGTTGGCACTGACACTTTGAGCAGAATTTTAGCCTTTTTAGAGACTGGGTATAAAAATATGGTGTTATCTATACCTTATCATTTTGCCCTCCAGAGAAAGTGTAATTTGTGCCTGGCAATGTCATAGAAGCCAGTAAGTGGTATTAGAACTCAGATGTTGATGGCAAAAAATGGAGAGTTAGTGGAGAGAGAGCTTCATTGTCCAGTGGCAGATTATTACCTCAAACGTGTTTGGGGTTAATTTAGCGAAAGCGGCCATAAAGGCAAACCTTATGGATGATTCTGGTTCTATTGCAAGCAGTGGCTTTTCAGGCATGCCTCTCAGCTTGGAAGCACTCCATGCAGAGTCACAGGTGTCACCCTAATGGAGACAGCTGGGTGGCTGTGTTCTGTGTGTGACCTATACTTACCAAGCACAAAGGTTACTGGAATTTGTTCAGCATATCTGTCACAGTAAATTGATAATTTTTCAAAGTAACGTTTTTGGGCTCCTGTAAGTAACAATCTGGAGCAAAAATAAAATGCACAGCCCTTTATGATATGATACTCCTGCACCTGCTTTGCAAGTGACATTCAGTGCAAACAATTAAGCGCAAATAATCTTAATTTTTTTTATTTTAAGGAGCAATAGTTTTTTCTTTCTTCCTAAGCTCATGTGTCTCAAAAGCTTTTTAATTACAGAGTGTTTCACATGCTAACATTTTGCTGGTCATTAGATAGTGGGATTTATTAACCATTTTATTTTTAAATACTCTATATTTTCAAACTTTTATATGATTAATGCATTGGATTTGGAGCAAAATACTCATAAAAGGGTTCATTTTCCAGTCATTCATCACATGTACTTTAAAAAAAAGTGTCTTAAGTTGATTATAGTTATTAAGTAATAATTAAATAATAACCCTGAGTTTGACATCTTGATCTACTTTCTTCTGAATATACTACTTAGCACATTATTGATTACACATGTTTTACTTCAAGGGATGTTACAATTGGTTATTTTAAAGCCTACAATTGTTAAATATAAAATAACACAGATTTAACAATTAGAAGTGAAAATTTTTACTATAGTTGATGAATGTATATTTATACAATATGAATGTCAAAATTTATATTATAGATCTGACCCAAACCCATTTTCTGGTATTGTTGAACATAAATTCATTCAATGGAGCTATTATTGTGATTTATGTTATAGGGAGGGGATTCAGAGTCAGAAGAAATGTCTTGAGGCAGGTTAATAATAATAATTGAAATCTGTAAAGAGAAGCAGCACAGATGAATTTGCATACGTGAAATGTCCAAGGGAGGAAGGACTCCCTTGGAAAGTTCCATTATAACATATGTCAAAGTCATATCTGGGTCAGTAGAACTTTCATAAAGGTGGCATAGGGACAAGGACGTAACAGTGAACTGCCAATCAGGTTGCAAATGAAAGTGGGAGCAGGTCTGAGAAAGGAGTGTGGGGTGCAGGATGGCTTAGAGTTCCTGCTCAGCTTTAGAGAAGGTGTCAGAAGTCCTGAAGTCAGGAAAAGCTGATGACGGCAATCACCTGGTTACACAGGCTTATCAAGGTCATGCTGATGACAAGTTACAGCCAGAATGGTTTCTGGTCCTCTGGTAGAAATGGTAAAAGACGATTTAAATGTGGACAGCACAGACGGCAGGGTCAGATGCAGCCAGGTTGCTATCCCAGCACTGCTACTTACAGATTTGGGTCTGGTGCCTATTTTTAAATCTCTTTGAGCCTCAGTTTTCTCCTTTGTAAATAAGGCTAATAATGCCTTTGTATCAGGGATGTTATGAGAGGATTATAGAATATATTACATATAAAATTACTTAACATAAGTTGTCATACTTAATCAATAATAAAGTGGTTATTATTAATTAGCCAAAGGAAAAAATATTTAGCTAATAGACACATAGAACTTTTACAAGCTGGAAAGTACTATGGGAATTATTTTGTCAAATCCATTCAAAAATAGGAAGAGATAGAATCAGATTAATGAATTCTGATTCAGTCTTAGGACTTGTGCTAAGTATAATTAGTAACAGGATTAAAAAAGCTTAGAGCCATTTGTAGACATGAGAATGAAACTATGTCTATATTTTTCTACAGGTATATTTGACAAATTCAGCTTATCATTCCTGGTACACTTTTGATTAAGATGTGGGGATCTATTTTAACAAAATTTTATAGTCGAACTTTTAAAAATGAAGAATGATTTGAACAATTGATTATTGTTATAAATGTATGCACTCACTAGTCTTAAGAAAAAATATGTGCATACAACTTTGTGGGGCATAAATAAGATATTGCAGCAACCGTGAAGGCCCCATGGAGCATTTCTGGCTAAGATGCAACAGTTCTGAGGGCTTTCTATTCTAAGCTGCAGTAGCAGCAATAAATTCATATTAGTAAAAATAAACTAATGAGACAATTATCCTGAAACATCATGCGTCTCCCGCCATTTCATATTGCTGAAGGACTAGGTGACACAGAAATAAACTCTCAAAATAATATTGTATTTATAAGACACATCTGAAAAATTATTAAAGGTTTTTAACAAAACTCTCTCTGAAGATATTTTGTTAAAATGTAGTCTACCAATATAAACATTTGTTTGGAATGATGGTTTTGACATAGAGCAAAATAGCTTTTCTTATTCTACTTTTGATAATTATTAGCCAGCCAAATTAATATCCCTTTTCTTCAAATGGGGTCCTGTTGCTGCAGGGAAGAATGCAGGTGGGAACAATGATATACATACTTGTTCATCTGTATGCAGAAGAAAAACAACAAACTGAGATACATAGAAAAGGAAGATACACAGCCTCAAAAACCTTTAGCTTTTCTATTTTAAGTTTTAACTTCCCCCAGGGAAGAAATGTATGCAGTTTTAATAAAAAAAACTCACAAAGCTTCCCTTTAATAAAAATGTTAAGGCAATACTTTTTAGTTATAAAACATTTCTTGGACGTGAGACTGCTCAAATTTTCTGTCAATCTGACAGGCATAGGTTGCCATGTTATAAAGAATAAGCATCTTTTGTGAACAGAACATACCCCAAACACAGGTGATATCAAGAAAATGAATCAATTTTCAGGCCTTTTCTTTAGCAGAGGTATTGGTGCAGGTGTTGGGCACCATCCTGCAGAAGATCTCATCGCTCCAGGCAAAAGGAAGGAAAGTGGCCTGCTGTACACCATTCACGAACATGTTAAATATGCAGGTACTTGCTACAAGCTGTCAAACCACAGACTGTGAATGAAATGATGTATGTAGAGAGGCACAAGTAGGTTCTGTGGACTTTGCCATTCAAAGTCATCATGTTGTGAGGACTAAAGTATAGATCTCCCGTTTCATGCTTACAGCAATATTCATGGAGCACAGCTAATACCTTATCATGATCAATTAATACCTTGTCATGATCAACTAATGTGTGGCTGGAATGAGAGTCACCTGAACATCACGGTTAGAGTCTACTTAACATCCCTAAAAGTGGTTAGGTATGGATTAACATACCCTGTCTGGAGGAGAGGAAGGCAACCGAGAGGATCATGCAAAGGAGGAGGTGGCATAAATGCAAAACTCAGCAGCAACCAATGGGTAACTTGGGTTTTTGAGACTGTATTCTTCCATGATATTTGGTGGCCATTGTAGGAAGACATGCAAAGGAAAGTACCTGTACACCAAACTTATTGCTGTGTAAAGAACAGCAAAAACAATAAATTCCCTGTACAGCAGTTTGTAGATGCTGCCTCTCCATTTGAGGAGTAACCTATGAAATCCAAAAAAAGTCGCATTTGCTACTTTACTGGAGTAAGTGACAGTCATCTTGGACAGTACTTTTCTAGAAGAGCAAGAAGACAAAACACAAGTAAAAAGCAATGTTTAAGGCAGAGCATAAATCTGTATCTCAAAAGAAACCCAGGCCAGCAGCCAGCCAGCTATCTTCCCTTTCTGCCTTCTTCTGTTTGAACAGTTTAGAATTTGAGATAAACACTCAGTGCTAAATCTTTTAGCAGAAAAGAGGAGGAAAGGAGTCTCTGGGAAGAGTAATTTCAGTAACCTTAAGCTTGCCTTAATTTCTAAATATTATTTTTAGACTATATAACCATTACTCCAATGTTGAATGAATAAGTGAGATATATGAGATATGTTCTAATATCACCTGTCATGTATTTTCTTAATCCATGGGGAGATTTAGGTTATTGGTATGCTATATTCATTGATATTTTCAAAAGCAGTGGACAAACTTACTGTTTGGGTCTTATTTGCCGAAGTATAAAGGGGCAATGATTTCACCCTTCAATTTCCTAAGGGGAAGTTTTGGCTTTCAGAAGTCGGGAGGTACTGTTGGAAAGACAAAAGCTTCTCATGGGAATTTAATTGATGGGTTACTTTTGGTGGTTTTGGTTGGAGGTGGGTGTCTCTCCAGCAGCGCTCTGAGTGCAGGGTTAGCCCTCTATGCACTTCACAAAAAGCAGACAAAACGCGGGGACACAGCGATCCTAAGCGGTGCTTTCCTGTTGAAAAGTCTTGCACAAAATGTTTAAGGATGGTTGCATTTCTGTTTGGAGAACCTGTTATTTAGTACTTTTTCTACTTGGATCTTTCTGTGGATATGGGTAGCATGAGAATTGGGCCTCCGAACCTAGTTTTCAAGAGTTCTGTGGAATTCCGGTGCTTTTCACCAAGACACCCAACATTTGGGTTTTGAGGAGATGGCCCAAAGCTAATCTTTGTTTGAAAATCCTGCTCTCCTATCTCTCTAACATGGAGCATACACAGATAAGATGGAATTTCTTTGGAATTGGTTTCAGAAGGACCTATGAGGAGGAGACTCTTACAGACCTACTTATAATGAAATTACGGAGCTTTTAGTAGAACTGTACCAGACACATGAAGTAAATCCTATCACAGATTTCTTATATAAAGTAGCCAACAGCACACATTTTATCATCAACATGAAACTCTCTTTATGCACAGGTGGGAAAACAATCCAACTCTAATTTGCCTTGTAACGAAATGAACCTCTGGAGCTATATTCCCAGTATGTTTTTGTGATCACAAACTCAGCCTTCAACATTACTCATTTTAATAAAGAAACCAGGGCTTTTTGACATGAGTAAGTGGCATTACAAGAGGATGGGACTCACGCCACAAAGTTGGTTTCATTTTCCCATCTTCACGTTGTCTATTCATGTAACATGAATACAGCCAACACTGGGAGAGGAGCCTAATAAACCAGGCCCATTTCTCATGGACAGAGTAGTTTTAAATAACAGTCCTTGATTAATAGTTCACCCTTCTATTGCAGTTCTGTCAGAAAAACTAAGATCAGATAGCGAAGAGGTCAGAATTAAAATGCTTAGGTATGCTCTGTGCACTAACCTATTTATTGGGTTTGGAGTCTCCGGAGGGAAATAAAGTCTTCAAATTTCGGGCTCCTCCTGAAGAGGGGCCTCCAGGCCGATGTGGCACTCCTGGCTTCACCCCTCGCTCACGCGCACTTGGGTTTTCTTTCTGTTCTCTGGCCCCTGAGGAGACCCAGAGTGTGACAAGTACAGGGGTTAAATGTCTTTCCACTTGAGGAGGCGTGTTTGTGCCAATTTGCCCACTGATGACAGTTATATCTGGGAACAAACAGAAGCAACAGCAGCTGATGTGGCTTTTTTCTGATCTATAATTATAACTCCACCTGTCATCCAAAGTGTCCCTTTGAATGAGAAGTTGGCGGTGATGTGAAGGAGGCTGTTGGAGTCTGACGTTTTCATCTTGACTCCACCCTGGGATCAAGGAAGAAAGGTTCATTTCTTCATGAAGTGCACTAAAGGGGCTCCAGCAGCCACAAAAGGGAATTAGGACCATCTGTGCTTAAAACGAAGACTATGTTCTTTTCACCAACTGAGGCAGGCAAGAATATAAACAGGATTTTCACTCATTTGAGAGGTATTGAGAATGCTCTTCCATTAAAAGCAACAAGCAACAGTGTATTTTTGAGAGTGCATACATGTGTTGGGTGCATATTTCAGAAGAGCATAGAGAATTATTATGGTGGGGTGGTTTAGCGTGGTGGAAAATGATAGCACACTGATTCATTACATTTCTTATCCTTCTGTGGTCAGCTAGGGAAAATTTTTTAATTATTCAAAATGTTTTTTCTTAGGTTGGTTGTGTTTCCATGTTTTCCTTCTAGAGAGAGTTCATCAGCAGTCTTTAAATAATAAAAAGTAATTTCAGGGTAAATTCTGGGACCTTTTCAAACTTTTAAAGTAATGTGCTTGTGCACCAAGCATTGTACTTTCAGCTTGAGTAAAATAACTACAAATAACATGTATTTTTATGGAGAAAGATATAGAAAAAAGGTGCTTATTTAGCAAGTGAGAATTTATTTGCGCCGAAAAGTTTTTCTAAGCATTCTTAAGTTTCATATGCGTTTGACTGGTTTCTTTATCAAACTGTAAGTACTTTAGAGCAAAGACAGAGTTGTAGGGGTCTGGTTTCTTGCCCCCATCCCTGGTCATAGTTACAGCGTGGAGCCCTGTGCATAATGGACATTCACAATGTATTTGTTGTTTATCACCTAATTGCCACTATGCCACTCCTGTGAGTACATTTGGGGTAATTTGTGAACATTTAAAAACTGTCTACACAAAGCTGCACATTTTGTATCTGGGTTGCCATGCAAAGTGATCGGATAGACCTGCTGTTGCATTTATAAAGGTTTGCAAGGCTGATCAATGTGATAGAGTTTGAGCAAACCTAAAGCCCAAGTACTTATGAAATAGAAACAGAGGTATTTAAAAATATTCTCACTCTTATGTCTTCTAGTGGACATGCAGTGGTGCTGAAACATGGCTTGATTCCCAGCAGTCATGACTGCATGTGGAGGAATCTGCCTCCTCTATGGGGCACTGCTGGCTGATCTCACTTTTTAACAGGGGTAATTACATTCGTCTTTCCCATCAGGCTGTTTTGGGGAATGACTAATTAGTGCTTGAGATAGCATTCTAAATGCAAATCAGCCAGTAATGATTAGATTGAATAGCAAATTCCCATTGTCGAGCTCTCACCATCAGAGATGGTGGCTATCTCTAACAGGTACCAAAATAGCCATTCAGAAATTATTTCAAAATACCCAACAAACACCAAACTGCAAATTTATCTGTTCATATGACATTTTGCAGAAAGCATTAAAGTTCTTGTTTAAAAATAGATATATTCCTTCCAGGTTCTAACAATAACAAATGCATATTAAAAAATAAAATGTAGAAGAAATAAGTAAATAAAATAAAAAGTAAAACAACATGTAAAGAATGGAGTGGCACTCTATCCTGCCACCCTAGAGGGGTGATGATCACTTGGCATAAAGTTCATCTTCCCAGACTTTTGTAGAAAATATTTTAACTCCTGTAGTTAATAGCAAACAATATGATAGACACTTGAGCAATTTCAGGGCTCTAGGAGATAGCTATGACAGTCATATTTTCTTTTGACAGCAAGCATCAAGTTATGAGGTCCTGACCACTGATTTTCAACAATCCTGATAAATACACTTGTCTTTATTCCAGTAAAGTTCCAGTGACAGGACTATTAATAAAAAAGAACAACTGATCATTTCTTAGTGATGGGAGTACTGATATTCATTCACAGATGTCAAGATAAATCACCCTTTGTTCCTTAAGGGAACAGAAAACAACAAGGTTAGGAAGCCCCTGCCACTTCCTAAAAGAGAACCAAAAAGCCCCACATTAATTCATATATTTATTTTAAAAGCCCCACAGCCTTTTAAAACTGATTGACTTACTGCACTGATGTGAGAAATCTGCCAAATTTCTTTTGCATGCCTGGTTGAACATAAACGTGTACATAAAAAGTTGCATCCGAGTATTCAAAGACAAGAAGTTGTTGTGGTCTGGAGGCTTTGATTCTGACTTTAAGACTTTTGGACATTACTAAATGGGGAATAAGAAATCAGTAAACGTTTTGGACAGGAAAAGGGCTTGAAAAAGTCTGTGTAGTAGAAAGATGAATCTATGCTAAGGGTAAGTGATGGCTTTGAGTGGCAGGGAGTGTAAAAAGGGAGTCAGTTTGAAGGTTATTAGTGTTCTGAGAGGTACTGGGGCGGTGGGTAAGTGGAATGAAGAGGAAGGATGGTGAGAGAGCCACAGTGAAAGAGGGAAACTACCCCAGGGGAAGGAACAAACGGGAGAAGTCTGATACAACCCTTGTCCTGTCCTTTGAGCCCATCTGCTCGCAAACAAGAACTACACAATATGATCTCAAATTTGTTCAGATGACATGGGTCTTTGTAGGGCACCATGTAATTTTGATATGTTTTATTTGATTTCCTGAAAATAGGAACATTTTATTAGCAAAATGCATGCAAAGTAAAATCACAAGTAGGCATCATATTGCCCACAAAAAAATCAAGTTGTTGAATTACATGATTAGCCGATCCTTGGTTTTTCGGTTAATAATTGTTTCTGGCACTTACTCATTTTGCTGTGAGCTGGGCTGCTCTAGAAAAAAAGACAGTAGTTAGTGCCAAAGCTTAGAGAAAAATTCACAGTAAACTTTCAGTGGAATATCATTCATTAATTTTTTTTCCCCAAAAGATACCTTGGTTCATTTGGTTTGGGAACCACTCAATTATTTTTTTTCCTCACATTTTTCTTTTTTATTAAGGTATCATTGTTATATAATCTTACACTCAGGTTTCACATGAGCAACACTGCAGCGACTATATTGCCCCCCACTATCAAGTCCCCACCACATACCCCATTACGGTCACTGTCCATCAGCGTAGCAATGCCATAGAATCACCACTCTTGCAAGTACATTTTTATTGGCTCCCTGAGACTGTAAACTTCTTAGAACTCATGCCTTATTCTTTCTTTTGTTTTTTTTTTCTCTCTTATTTCCTGGTTGCCATGAAGGATGCAATAGCTGTGAGATAAGCAGCTTGATTGGGGTCAGTCATGCATCAATTCCGATGTGTGATGGTTCCTGATGCATTCTGATGGTGATGCAAGTTGGCCAAAGGGGCTGGGGAACCTCCTCAATTAATTTTTTTTCTTTAATTTCCGAGTAGAAAGAGCAAACTCCTAGGACTAGAAAAAACTTTTGAGTTCTATTACAGATGACTTTCTAAACTCACAAGGGACTGGATATTGAAGAGTCATCACTACTTTCCTTACATAGAGTAATTGCCAACTCAACAAAACAGAAATGCATTAGTTCCAATTCTGAAGGTTATCTTTTCTAATGGAAGGTACAGAAACTTTGTTCTATTTTAAGGCTGAAAGCTTAGAGTCTAGAGAATAATTCCTGTGGTGCTTAAAGTGTATCCTGTACTTTATAATCAATGATATTTCTTAAACGGATGGTACTACTTAGCTCAAGTGCATTCCAGGTTGTTAAAAAAAAAATTGCAGCATAAAACCAATTAAAAACATCAGTTTAATTTCACATGAAAAAGCATCATGTTTACTCCAAATGGCTATGAAATTTTGTTACTTCACCAACATAATAATAGAAAGTGGCCATTCTGGAAATTATATAGCTGTGGGTAAAGGGAGGATACAGATAAATAGGAAAATAGGTAAGTAGGAAAAAGTCTATGCATAAATTATTGGACTAAAACACCTCTTCTTTTTTTTTTCATGCATGCATGCGTTTTACAAGTATTCACAAATCACCCTTTACATTAAACTGTGTGCTTTGAGAGGAAGATGAAATGGTAACACTACCACCTCTGACAAATTCTTACCTCACACCCTTGAAATTATATCAACCAGATATAGCTACCAGTTTGGAAGACATTTAGGATCCAGAAGAACATGTTTAACAACACCATTGGGGACTTGATAATATGGGCGAATGTAGCAACCACAATGTTGCTCATGAGAAACCCTCACAAGACCCTGCACCAATGATACCCCAATAAAAAATTTTTTAAAAACACCATTGGGATACAAGCAGAAAAGTCCAGAATGTAGGACACTCTAGAGGACAAATGACTTGGTTTACTCATAAAATAAATGGCAAAGGAAAACATTTCTTTTTTATTTTATTTTATTTATTTTGGTTTTTAAATATTTTATTAAGGTGTGATTGACACACACTCCTATGAAGGTCTCACATGAAAAAACAATGCGGCCCCCACATCCACCCACACTATCAAGTCCCCACCCAAACCTCAATGCAGTCACTGTCCATCAGTGCAGCAATAAAACACCTCTTCTTGTGTAGTAAAGTGCATGTGGAAATGAAAAACAACTGTTGGTTCTGATTCTTTATATGGTGGATTGAGTGTAGTGAAGACACCTTTTTAGTTTCTTACACCTAATGGCTCCATAGTGGTGTTACTGCTTGAGAGGGTAGTGGGTTTGGCATAAGAAAGTAAAAGGGAAAATTCAGTTTTTGCTCCATATAATTTTATATTTAAAAAATTACAGTCATGTTTTCATACTTAATCATATGCAATAAAAAGTCTAATCTGATACCACTTCCACAGCCCAGATCTTTTACCCAACTCCAGA